ATCTGCCATTGATACATTTTTATCAGAAGATGGAATTGCTGGAAAAGTATTTGTTGAAGAATTACAATCTCGACCTTTTGATAATTTACGTGGTTTTTTTGTTCCAGGTTTTTTAGGTTGATATACATAATCTGGATGATCTTGCATATGTTTAAGTTTCATTCTATCCGCAAGTTTTTCCCATTGAAACCTTACTTCTTCAGATTCTTTCCACCACATTTTAGAAATAACTTTTGAAACTTCAGCGTTAGTCAAGCTTTTATCTTGAGCCACAACATCGGGTTGTTTATTTTTTCTATACAAGATGAATGCATTTGGTGGTCTGGGAGTCCTTTTTGGTTTTCTAGCTCTTGGTTTTCTTGCTTTTGTAGACTTTATGGATCGAGTAACAGGAATAACAGTTTGAACAGTTGAAGAATCCATAACGGTAGGAGGTACGGACGAATTAGAAACATCAAGGACGGATGGTTCAATGATGTTATGAATGTTATGAGCATGACTAGGATTAAATGTCGTAGAACCGTTATCATAATGATAAGCGAAATGATGAGGATCATTATCAATTCCGTTAAGATTTTCGTTAGTGGAAATCGCGTCTTGTTCTTGTTCGTGAACATCAACATCAAACATTAAGAGATGACAAAATTTTTTTCTAGCCTCTTCGTCCATTATGTAGAAAGGATAAATTTTTTTTTTTTAGAAAAAAAAAAAAAGAATTATAATAATTTGTAATAACGATGATAATAATTATTAAACGATAATAACAAGATTTTTTTTTTTCTTTAAAAAAAAAAAAAAAAAAAAAAGAAAGAAATGGACGGTTTATTATTATTATTATTATTATTATTATTAAAAAAAAGCAAAGCTTTAAGAGTGAAAAAAAAAACGATCAATTGTTGAAATCTATGAGGGTACGTATCAAGAGGGCGTCTTTTTATAATTAGTTTTTTCAATTTATTACGATTATAATAAAAATTAATTTCAAATTTTATGTATATATTTCTTATTATAAAAAATTGTAACACTGTATATTTTTTAAAGTAACTTTCACGTTTACATGTTATGCATGCATTGAGGTGACTATTGAGAATGTAACACATTGGTTATCAAGTCATCATTAACCGAGAAAATGTATATTACGTTTCTTTTGCTTCAATTATTTTCCTAAAAAAAAAAAATAATTTATTTTCAAAATTTTTTTACTTAAAATTTACTGTCCAACGTGACATTTATGTATCTTTTGTCCTCACTTGATGATGAGTCCTTCTAAATTTGAAAAAGTTCAAAGAAATAACAAATGAACCATTCTAAAGTATTATCGATCAATGATGAAAGTGATTCGACCTATTTCAATGAATTATTTAATTTATGATTTTTAAAATAGAAAAGAATTGTTTTTTTTTTATTCCCAAATTTTATTGAAATCGTTGCCGGATGTATTATTGTTTTTTTTTGCAATTAAAATTTAAATGAAGAAGTGTAATTATATTAGAAGACTAAGTAGAGTTTTTTTTTTTAAAAAAAAAAAAAAAAGAACAAATCAATTATATGAATTTTTAAATTCCATTTATGAATATAAAATTAATTATTATGAAACATTGTGGATTTAGGAAGCAAGTTATTTGAAACAATAAACTAATTGAGTAATGTGTAATGTATACGCACGAGTTTTTAACATTAATGAATTAGTAAGATGATATGTTTCGGTAAAAGATTATTAAAAAAAAAAACTCTTCTCTTTCTCACTCTTTTTTTTTTTCTAAAGTTTCAAAAAATACCGTTCGACAATTATTAATAATCTTCAAAAGAGTTGTTTCACCTTATTGACCTAGGTTAATTTGTATATTACTTTATGATGATTTATAATCATAAAATACGTCGAGATCTATTTTCAAAATGTTTATATTATTGTCGTCGGCCCGAAGAAGAATATAAACTTTAAAAACTCTTGATAAACCATTCAAAACCAAATTAGGGTTCCTTTCACAAGATGTTATTTCTAAAAAAACTATTCTTTTTTAGGCATCAGATTTAAAGTTATCTCCGAGAGAATTATTATTAAGGGAAATTATGATTTTTGAATCTCCTTGAAGAACGAATTTTTAATATTGGTTTTGATTTAAAATGATTTAAGTGAAAAAAACAATTTTTTTTTTTTTTTATGTTAAATTTATTTCACATGAAAAAAACAAGTAGGAATTTGTTTTATAACTTAAGAATACATTTAATTACTAACTAAGTTTCTTCCATGTTTAATATTCTGAATATTTCCTGCACCTCCTACGAACATAGTACACATAATCTACACAATCCAATCCACATAATCCACACAGTCCTTAAGAACATTATTATGCAAAAAATCGAATTCATACAGTGCCTGAGAAAAATGGAAAAAAAAGTTAAGTCAAGTCTTTTTAATAATATAAAGGAATAAGAAAGAATGTTTTTTTTTCGTTTTTTTTGAACGAGATGTTCCCCTTGCATAAATTTAAGAGAAAAAACTCCTTACATTTCAAAAAAAGATGTTTAATATCTAAAATGTGATTTTTTTTTTATCTGACCACGTTAACCTTCTAACTTTTTTAATATCAATTGTTAGATATCCATTATTAAACTTTTTATGAGTATTTACATATTTCACGTTCGATGCGGCTTGATGTTTAAGAAACTTTGAGTACACATTCTAATAAATCCATTTTTTTTTACAAAGAACATTAATCAAAGAACATTAATGAGAACATTAATGAGAATATTAATGAGAACATTCATGAGAACATTAATGAGAAAATTCATGAGAACATTAATGAGAACATTAATGAGAACACTCATGAGAACATTCATGAGAAACATTCATGAGGGGGGAAAAACAAAAACTTCACCATAATAATAAACTTAATAATGAACTTGTTTTTAAGTCTATTCATTCAAAGGAAAAAAAAACTTTACTAAAGTAATTCATTTAAAGCTTTATCTATCAGACAATGTTTAAATAAATTCATCTGATTTAATAACCAAAAGTAACGAAGATCCCCTTGCTTGTGGTTGTTATTGGAATAAGTGGTTTTGTTATCGTTCATTCACACTTTATGATACTATGATACATTTTACGATACCTATTTTATGATACATATATTTTATAATACATATTTTATGATATATATTTTATAATACACATTTTATGATATATATTTTATAATACATTTTATGATAACGCTAGGATGCAACCTACAGGGATAGTTTATATCACACTATATGTTATTATATATAGTAGATTTATTATTAGAATATAGTGGTTTATAATAGTTTATAATAGTTTACAGTAGATTGTTGCGATATATAGTACTGTAGTAGCAGGTGATATCGTTGTAAATATATTATCGTTGCAAATATACTATCGTTGTAAATATATTATCGTATTCAAACATATCGACTTACAGGGTTCCAGTTTAGATCTATTAAAAGAAGGGAAAGAATACAACGATATAAAAGGTCTTTGTTAAAAAATATATGTATATATAAATTTTTTTTTTAATATAAACAATTGAAAATCGTGAATCATGAATTTAATGATAACTGCCTTTACCAAATATAATAATACATTTTTATAGGGCTGAAAAAAAAAAGTATTTGCGCCTAGACGTGTTATTACAAGTCTTTCTTGATCCATTAATACCCTTACATATTTAAAATTTTAATGATTAGCATGAATGAAAAGTCAATAAGTAGAACATTTTCGTGTTTGTTTAAATACATTCCATGTTCTTTATCTGTGATGTACAATCAAATTAACAAGGTTCTATTAAGGAAGCATCGATTATCGACTTTTCGTAAGAAATTTAGAGAACACAGAGATCTGGAAACAATACAATACATACATGAGAATGATTTTCCAATAACGATAATAATAATAATGATGATGATAATACTCAACGAATGACCTTAATTGACCTTAACGAGAGTGGCATAAGGATATATCATGCTTTATTGGTAACATATCCCTTAGAAACCTGAAGAAATCACAATCCACCTGAGCGGCAAAAAAAATAAAGTGTGGCATTTGTTGACTTCTTTGCTTAATAGGTAGATCATGTACCTGGATGATGTGAAGCATATTCGATAAAGTATTCTTTGTTAGACTAATTTAGCTCAATAAAATAAACAGTCTAAGCTTTAAATATATGTATACGATTATTTTCATTGTATCAGTGGTTGACGATATTATTAGAATGAATGATTGATCATTTTGCTCTCTACAAAGACAAGTGTCATAAATTTTCGTTGAAAACTATGCAATCGCTTTTTTCACCTTTTACAAATTTCATTGAACATTTTGATGTACAAATCGTAATTAAACCTACGTACGTACGTATTCGTAAGTCGATCTGACAATAAATATATATAGATTATATATAGATTATATATGTACATATTTTATATAAATCGATATATATATATACATAAACATATATATATATATATATATCGATATGTATATACTATAGATTTTTTTTTTTCATACCATCAACAATGTTCATTGTTTCGTCGTCTAGAATTTCCAAACGCGTCGTCTTCCATCATTAACGATATCAGAGATTAATAGTTCTTATGCGAGTTAATGAATATCAATATTAATGAAGCCGTTAATTGATGCCCTGCGTGTTTTATTGTCAAACATTAAAAAAAAAAATCATTGCTGCGGACAAATGGTGTTTTCGATGATTGATCCTCTAATTACATTATCATAATTGGTTCCAAGATATTAGTCGCTTAATACACGGGGACGTATCATCTATCCGTTTGATAATGTCTAATCATGTCTTTAATCATGTCTTTAATCATGTCTTTAATCATGTCTTTAATCATGTCTATAATCATGTCTATAATCATGTCTTTAATAGTGTCTTAATCATGTCTTTAATAATGTTTTTAATCATGCTTTTAATAATGTCTTTAATCATGCCTTTAATCATGCCTTTAATCATGTCTTGAACTTACTCCCTAATTAAATCCAAAGGTATCCAAAGGTGTTTAACCTACGTACGTACCTAAAACGTCACGAAGCATCGATAGAAATATACAGTTTTTTTTTCTACAAAGAAGTGCTTGATCGTGATTTCAAGATGACCCTTGATAATTTTGATTTTGATGAACCAATCTTTGTTTCACCTTTCACTTTCATTGTAACATTGTGAATTTTGTCCTTATTCAATGAAAATTGCATTAACAAAGTTAGGACTTTACTTTATAAAATCTCTATCTTAGGAAGTTTCAACTTCATACCTGTTTCCATAAATAACATAGTATTGAATGCATACATTGTGAACATTATGAATGTATACATAATCAAGGTCCAAAATAATATTTATATATTTTTTTTTGTGGAATATTTTTGGCGGTTTGTGCAAATTCACCTACTTTTCAAAAACTTTTCCGAATTAGTAAATTAGTATCAAATTTTCTTTGTTTTTCTTTGTAAAAAAAAAAAAAACTCCTACGTCTTTTTACATCCTTTTACATCCTTTTACATCCTTTTAATCCTTTTAAATCTTTTTTATATCTTTTTTACATCCTTTTACATCCTTTTACATCCTTTTACATCCTTTTACATCTTTTTTTACATCTTTTTTGCACCTTTGATGCAAAGAAATACTTTCACATATAATGATATA